GTCATATGTTTTCCACCACCAAACTGTTATAAATTTTTGGAAAAAAATCAGAGAGAGAGGTTGGTCCTTTCTGATTCAACTTTTAGAAATTTTTTAATAAATGGAGACGAAAGAATGTTCTTGCTACGTTAAAAGAAAAATTCTAAGTCCTAAATATAGTATTAGCGTCCAATGCGAAGCTGTTTCTTTTTTTTAAAACATAAAGCTTTAAATAAAATTAATTTCGGGACACAAACCCATAATCTGTAGCTATCTTATTAAATAGATTGCTGAGTACAAAATTTTAATTATTTAATTTAAGAATTATTTAAAATTATAAACCAAATGATACTAAATTTAAGGCGTCTCTCGTCCTCCCAGAGGTTCTATTCAGTCTATCGCAGATTCTAAGACAATAGAATAAAAATTTACTATTTCAATATTTTTTTTAAAAAATCAGTAAAAGACGTATTTAATTTTTTATGCTCCAGCAAACATTTCTGTAAAAATCTCAGCATTTTTTACATGTGCTAAATAAAGTTGCAAGAAATCATACAAAAATTTGCTTAAAAAGTTTTGTATTTGCCCAATTACCTAACCTGCATATACAGTGGCGGCCAAAATTGTGGACACTTTTTAAAATTGTTATGTTTTTTAAGTTTGAATGCTTACAGAAAATCTTACTTTACACAAAATGCAAAGTATTTATCATTTTAAAAGGAATTTAATACTGAATTGAATACAAAGAACAAAGTTAAAATATTTGCAAAGCAAAAAAAGTTAAGCTGCAATAACTGTCGATATACATTACATACTGGTGATAGCAGTGAGTTATTAGAGCTTAGTGAGATTTCCTTTTTTCTTTCTTACAGCTTCACATCAAAGTTTTATTGAGCTGAAAATAGTTTTAGGCTCTTCCTTCGTTATTACATGATGCCAGGAAACAATTATATCTTCAATTAGCTCATTTTTTATTTCATGGCTACCTCATTCGGGCAACAATTTTCAAACGGTGCCACAAGTTTTCGATAGGATTGAGGTCAGGACTGTTTCTTGGGGAGGACAAGAACTCAATGATCTTAGAACGGTTCCAGTCTTTCAATTATTTTACTGTGTGGCAAGGAGCAAAATCTTGCTGAAAAATAAATGAAACATTGTTGGTAAATATATGCCTGGTGGAAGGCAGAGGTTTGGGTTCTAGAATGGTGTCAATGAATTTTATGACAGTCAGTGTCCCATCGATAATATGAAGGCGACCTATACCATCTTCTGATATGCATGACTAAATGATAAAACTATGCAGGTACTTCACAGTTGTCTGGATGCAGTCAGGAAGCAGTTTTTTTCTGATATTCTACGTATTTCATAGTTTAGGCTATCACTACCGAATAACAATATTTTAGTTTCGTCCTTCTATATAACTTGTGACCCAAAATCATCTGTCCAATTAATGTGTTCCATTGTCACTATGGTTCCTTTTAGGGCTGCTGTAAATTGAGATAGGGCTTTTATCGTGGAATTCTACCTTTAAGTTTTACATCTGCTAATCTACTCCTGATTGTTTTTGAACTGACAGATACACCAGCCTCACTCACAAATCATTTCTGATGGCTGTCCATGAAATTCTATTATGTCTGACACATAGTATTTTTGTTCTTCTGTCATCAATAGATGTGGTGCACCTTTTTTGGCCTTTTCCTAACCCACCTGTTATATAATTTTAACGTAGGAAACACCACTTTCTCGTCCCACATGCGTTCAATCTACTATTTTATTTGATGTCATTGCTCTTTTTGACTAAATATCATTGTTATCTTGGCCAGGAAACAGTCCTGATCTTAATCATATCCAACCGTTTGAAAACTCTAGTACGGGGTAAAGGGTCTAGTCTCCCAGTAAAGGGATTAATTATAAACTGTACAAAAATTATATCAAGATGTTGGTTTTTGTATATAACTTTATATATGGCAAGCCCATGGGGGCACTCGTAATTATTAAACTTGTTCTTAGCTTAGTATTGTTAAATTAATTGTGAAATACATTGTGCAGTACTGATACATTTGTATGTGCATTATGTCAGTGTAAAAGTGCATTTTATTTTTTACTATGCCAGAATGCATTTTTTGTTTGTTTACTTTCATTAAATTGATATTTTTTTAAAATAATCTTTTGTTTTTGATTTTTCAATATGCTTGCCCCCCCCCC